AAAAGGAAAAAAATGGAGTTCAGAGCTGGAAATTTTCTTATGGCCTTTTTTCTCCCCAAATAAGGAGGATAAGACAAGAGGACGGAGCTTAGTGGACAAAGGAGAGAGGCTGTGGGTGGATGAGAAGCGTGGTAATGGCCTTAGTCCACTGACACATTCATCACCCACTGTGTCCTCGAGAAGCCTATTTGTGGGGTCTGTGAGGACTTGCCTTCGGGGAAAAAAATAAATCAATGATCTTCTTCGTCCCACTCTACCAACTGTGACCCAGGGTCTAAACGAAGCTCGCAGCACACAAAGAAGTTTGTGTAGGCCCGAGCTCCTCCAGGGGAAGCTCTCTCTAAAACCACAACCCAGGCAGTACTTTGAAGCATTCTATTGGTCAAACCTAAAGTAAACTAAAGTTAAATTTCAAAAGTAAAATGGGTTTTTTCCCTTAAAAAACAAGTGAACAAGGCTGACACTGTGGATCAGTGGCAGAATGCTTGCCTAGCACGTGTGAGGCACTGCATAAAAAAATAATCATAATAAAATAAACAAATAAAACAAAGGCATGATGTCCCTTTACAACTATGAAATAGCCAAAAACTTAGCAAGGTACGGCCTAACAAGCCGGTACTAATTTTGCACGTGGTCATTAACAAAATGTCTCAAGAGCAAGGGCTTCACCTTCCACTTGAGCCTGCCCACGTCACACTGCACAGAATCCACAGGTCACCTGTGATCGTGAGCAGAAGGAAACCGGCCTTAGGAACCTGAGGCCAAAGCGTGTTTTCCAGATAGTTGCTGCACCTGTTCACGTCAGCAGCCCGCGGCCTGCTATAAAAACACGTCTGCTTGGTCTGAATCCAAGGCAAGCAAAGGAGGGGGTGAAGAGAGGAGCGACGGGAGGGGCGCTCACGCTGGATGGCCCGGAGCCGGGGTAGCATGGCGGGGCTGCTGGGCGGGCTGCGGCTCCTGCTGTCTGGACTCCTGCGCTTGTCCAGGCTGGGCGAGGCCTGCACGGTTATCTTGTGCTGGAAATCTGTTGGGTACAAATCAAAGAACCAAGATTTCACAATGTTAACGTTATTTTCATCCACACGACCTCTGTGCATAGCAAAAAAAAAGCACACACTGCCGTGAGCAAGCACGGCAAGGCTATTTCAGAGTCTATCTCTCACTTTGGTTTATCTGTCCTCAACTTGGGTTCCAGAGAATGACTGACAGATTCTGTGTCAGGTACAATGACACGCAGGGAAATGCTCCTGGGTCATTACACAGCTCTCGATCCACTGGCAAGTGTCACCTGTGTGCAGTTGAAGACGGTTAAACACAAAGGTGAAGCAGGAGGCCAGGCCCATCACTGGCAAATCATGTACCAGAGCAGGGAGGACTTGCCCAGAGCCTGTCCCCTCACCCCTGAAGGGCACCAAGCACTTCACAGGACCCTGTGGTGAGTGAGACAGAAGCATACTCTACAAACACTCTCCAGGCTGTCCTCGCCTGGCTGGACGGGGCAGAGAAAAGCCTCAACTGCAGGACTCTGTGACAGAGCAACATGGCCAGAGGGCAGGGAGGCCAGAGGGGGAACCAGCAAATCTGGGAGCACAGGGAAAGGAACTCTGCAGCGTCTTTCTGTGAAGTGCTGAGACGGACCTTTGCTTATCTGATCTCCCGCTCATAGGGCGGTTTTTACGGCTGGGCAGGGGTGGGCGTTAATGTGTAGGTTTTGTCTGGTTCCCAAGAGCATGAAACACACCCCCTAGGTTCTGGCCTGCTGCCACGCTGGGCTCTGGCAAGGTCTGGGCTCCGCTCCACTCACTCCTGACACCCTGCCTTGCACTGCCCATGAAGACCTCACTGCTCGAATTCCACTGAACCAGCCTTATCTGTTTGTTTTGTTGTTGGTGTTTTCCTAATTAATAAATTGAGTAAAATCTTTGAGACACGTTCATTTCATATTTGCAAGAGGGGAATAATTCACCTTTTTTGAAACGATCCTTAAAGAACTTTAGTGGACCACCTGTTATTTGAGATGAAGTGGGGTTAGAATTTGGAAGGTAAGGCATCCATATAATCACTCACACTCAAAATCTCAGATTGTTCTGGCACTGTCTTCTCCCTGACCCTACACATCCATGAAGCACAAAATTCCATTATATTTATTACGTATTATTACGTTATAAATTCTGTTGCATATTCTTGCAGAAGAGAATTTACATCCAAGTTCTGGGGTTAGCAAACTTGGTGTCCCAGTTCTACCCTTTACTAGCCAGGTGAATTCTTAGAAAGTAACTTTTTTAAGTCTCACTACATTCACTTATAAAAATTGTTGGAAAAAAAACATTATTCCTAATCCACAGGACTGTGATGGAAAACTGAGCCTGGAGAAGTGAAGAGTGCCCACCACCAGCCTCAACGGCAGCTGGTGCTGGTGCTCGTGACCTGCTCCAAGTCCCTCCCCACGACCACTTTGTGTGCATTCAGGCTGCACCTGGGCTGCACAGTGCCTTCTCTCCTCTTCCCACCCTCTTGGGCCGAGTCCAGCTCACAGCGGCTAGATGCACTTTTTAAAATGCATGACTGACCGTGGCAGTCCCCTGCTTAAAATTCTTCAAAAGCTTCTCATGATTCAAAAGTTACAGATTAAAATGTAGCTGATTCAGAAACCCCTGCACCTGGAATGTGGGCCTCCAGCCTCTTCTGTGATGCTGAGGCTGGAACCCAGGGCCTCAAGCATGCCAGGCAAGCCCTCTACCTCCGAGCCACAGTCACAGCCCCTGGTGCCCATTTTAAAATGCTGTATTGTAGGTTCAGATTCTCCTCAACTACCCAACCCTGCCACACAGCGAAGGTACAGTCTAGAAGATGCCGGATGCACATGCTCCAGCAGGACCTGCGAGCGCTGAACACAAGTGCTATCCCACCGGGAGGCACATCTCCCACAGGAGGCAATAGGCCACCACACGGGACAGTGGGACACGCAAGGATGAGGCTATGCTGTGGTGAGGGTGCCAACCACGACCAGCTACGGGCGGGAGGCCAAGCCCAACGTTCCGAGTTCAGAGTGCAGCCTCCCCTACAGAACCCGGGCCTCCCGGGTGCCCTTGACCTTCTGAAGCAGGGAAAGGGCAAGTGTGTCCCAGTTCTGTGCTCAGGAATTCCACCGGTTGTTAGTGCCCGGCTGCCATGAGGCTCTCCTTCTGGATATCTGCTCCCAGCCAGAACCGTGGCCACGGTGCTGAGAAAGGCTCTGCAGGTGGGTCCACTGTGCACTCAGCCAACAGCCTCCAGGGGATCAACCACTTTCACATGAAGGCGTGCGACCCTCCAGAATCCCGAGGAGCCAGACCGCTCCCCATGCACACGCACCTTCTCGTACACATGGGTGCAGTGGTTCCTGCAGGACTTGGTCCTTCTGAAGCAGATGAAGTTAGAACACACTGCTTTAGAGAAATACCAAACCTGGGAATCTTCACAACCTCTCCGCTTTGCTTTTTACACATCCTAAAAGCACAACCTAAGTTCAAAATAAACCCAGTAGAGAGAGTGATTTTGAGTGATCAAAACACAAAACATCTTGTGACCCTACCTCTTCCTTCTACAAGTTCCGAAAAAAACATTCAGTATACTCACAAAACACAAAGTTTCACAATTAAGTGGCACAGATTTTGCTATGTCACTTTTTAAAATTCCTAGGCTTCCTTATTTCACAGCCAGGCACCAAGAGATCCTAGCAGGGATAAAACAATATTAGTTTTCTAACAGTAAGTCATCATGGCTAAAAACAGTCATAAGATTAAACATCATCATCAGTGATTCTCAAAGATAAAATCACAAGTGAACCTAACTATTCGCCTTGAGTAACAGGTGTCTGAAAGAACCACAGGCACACATATTGAGTGCTGATTTGTAGGAGCTTCTGCGAAGTTCTCTGAGCTGGTTCCACACAGAGTACCTGCAAAGGGGCTCGTGGTGGTAAGGGAATGCCCTAGATGGAAAGCCACACCTCCCAGCTCTGTCTTCCTGGACAGGGTACCCCAAAAAACAGCCTACTAGATGATAAGGTCAGGTACAAATAACTCCCTTGAATGTAAAGAATGAATAATTGAATATAAGGTATGAATAATTGCTGTTCTTCTACACTAAGAACGCCTGCCCTGCTCTGGGTATTGCACATGGTACTGCACCCAGGAGGAAGGGTTTCCACCCTAGTACCAGGACTGCAAAGTGCAATGCCCCCTTGTGGGCACAGGAGGTAACCGCCACGCCAAATCCCAGAGGCTGATCCCATTCCTATCTGATGGACAGATAGTAAGTAGCACAGCAGTGGATTATTTGGTTATATTTTAACTGAAACCTTTCACTAAGTGTCACAAAGTAAATAAATATGTAACTAGAAGAGAAACATCAAATAATACAAGCCAGGAATAAAAACAAAAAATATTCAGCTATAGTTAATCTGTAGAACTAATAAGCTCCAGGTATCAGCCAAGGGGCATTGAGAGGAAACACAGGAACATAAGTCTGACTTAGGGATCCTGAGGAATTTCACTTACTCTCCCTGCCCGTGAAGAGCAGAGAACCACTAAGATGGTTTAACTTTTCTTCCAAGATTTTTGCCTTTCCATCCAATTCTTCCTACTTGCTCCCCCAGAGTTCCCAACAGAAACCATGAATATCAATGACCACAGCTCGATTCCCACACAGGCAGGAAAGGGGTGCAGGCAGAAAAGGGGTGCAGAGGGCAGCTGGAAAAGAAAGCTACCGTCTAGTGCCTCTGAATCTTTCCATCTGCTACGCAGGAAAGCAGAAACCTCACTGTAGACACAAGAGTCTATAATTAACTCACTGCTGATACTTATATATGAGACTGTCCTGTCAGTGGGCTCCAGGCACACTCCAGCAGAGGCAAACATCAGAAGAGAGCCTGAAAACACAACTGGTTTTCCCCACCAGAGAGGGAAGTGTGTAAGGCCCCCAGCCTAGTCTCACCTCGTCAAACTGAATCATCAATAACAGATAACAGACACTTATCACCACCACACATTAGTAATTTCTGATCAACCAACAGCATCTCCAAAAATCTTAAAAAGTCACTCTAAAATGAATCTGAATCCCTATCTCTCGCCATGCACAAAAGTTAACTCAAAATGGATCAAGAAGCTTGATATTAAATCAGAGACACGGCATCTGATAGAAGAAAAAGTTGGCTATGATCTACATACTGTGGG